ATTTTATTTACGTAAACTCTTGGAATTGGGGCGTTTTCAATCTGGAAATCGGCAAACTTTGTCTATTTAATTAGTTATTTAAATACTAGTAAACACCCATTTGTTTTCCACCTGGTTCGTAAGATAATTTGATCATCAATTCGAGAAAAAGGTGGCCTACAAAAATATCGGGACGTTTGGCCTATGCAACCTCATTATTTTGACGATTTGGGGGTGTAGTTCACGCCAAATGTCGCAATATTTTTTCTCGATTTTAGGACCAAATTATGTTTCGATTCAAGTGGAAAGCAAATGGGTATTTACTAGTTTTTAATACCTAATTAAATTGACAAAGTTTTGTCGATCTCCAGATATAAAACGTCCCAATTCTGAGGATTTTCGTAAAGAAAATAGTTGTAGGTTACGATGAGATGATCTATTTACGAAGTTTCAGGCGGAAGTTAATAATTTTAATAAAAATTGATTTCTATCACGGACTACAGAATAGTTCCTTTGGATATTTGTAGAATTTTTTTTAAATAATAAATACAAAAATAAATTTTTAATAAATACAAAAAAATATCCAGATATAGTTTCTATACTCTCAGCAATAGACTTCTATACTCTTAGTAAGTGAGTTAACAATAAACCTTGATTTTTCTGCGTCAGACAAATAGGTCTTGAGCGAATACAAAAATGGATTAGTGTAAGGTCAAAAAAAGCTGTATGTTAATGCTTAAATATTAAACTGTAGGGATATTTTCAAGTGGAAAAAAACTAATCACTTATTAAATAAATTATTATTTTTATAGTTGTGGTTAAGTTAAAGTGGTTTAATTTTAATGGACTCATACCAGACTGAAACGACAAGAAACCACTCAATGTTTTCGACTACTCCAACACTTACTAGACACTCTAAACTTCCAATTAATTAAAAAGACTCATATACATGACTATAATAGGGCCTATTTGGACTTACGGAGTTGAGCTATGGGGCTCCACTAAGCCATCGAATTCTTCTCGTATCCAATCCTTACAATCCAAAATCCTCAATGCTCCCTACTTTTTTACAAATAAAATCATCCATAATGACCTTAATGTTTCAGATCTGGCCCAATCCAGATACCTATCCTTCCATAATAAACTTCATAACCATCCCAACCCTCTCGTTTCTAACCTTGCTTCCTCTTCAATTCCTGATAACCCTCCGAGGCGTCTGAAAAGAAGATGGCCCCGTGATCTCCTAACAACAAGTGTTTTCACGTCATTATAACTATATGTTCAAATTAATAAATGTATTTCTTTAATACAGTTGTGAATATCATTAAGTAATAAAAAAAAAATAATGGAGACATTTAGTTTTCGTTAAATATTAGTTATCAGAAATTATTATTCATTTTTTTTTCATACTCTCTAATGCCGTCTACGAATTTATATATTAAATATTAATTTTTTTTTTTTATATGAAGATTTGTGCTTTAAATTTGGTCTTAAACTTTTTAGTTAGTGGTGAATATATATTTTTACATTTTTTTTAAAAATATATCTGTCCATATTAAGTGCATTTAATCCCAACGCCTGTATTTATAATTTGGCATACACTCTGTGTTTATTTAAGACAGAAGCCAACTTCTAATTGATGTGCGTGAATTTTGACAGCTTCAAGCCTTACCACGTTTCATCTAGGAATTACAGAATCATTAAAATAACTTAATGCTGTCTGTATTGTTGAAAATACCAAGATACCTTCAACACGTTCGTGTCAAGTGCCAACGTTTGTCACTGATTCTAATATATAAGTGCAAATTGATTTTATATGAATTATTGTACAATACTTTCTCTTGAATTACGCTTTTGAGAGTTGTCAGAGATGCGGTAGAATTAAATACCATATATTTAATAGTATTTTATTGGGTTACGCCAAAAATGTGAAACGCTTGACGATTTTGCGTATTATCCTTGCGGAGGGGCCATGCTAATATTCTCTATATCGTTCCAATTTCAGTACACGTATGTACATCCGAAGTGAGTACTATTATAATATACTAGTTGACCCGTGTGAATAATTCGCAGAAAATTTGGTTTATTAAAGAAATAGCAAAACAAAATGGACATAAGTAGATTCGATGTATTATGTAAGGAACGAATTAATATTTTTTCCTTGGTCGATTGCAATATTCCATTTAACATAATAGACCAAAATATTTGTACAAATTCCTTTGGTATTAGCTATTTTTTGACAGGTAATAGATCATAGGTCAAGTAGTCTCGATCATGGGATTTTCAAAATTATTAAAAAAAGTAAAATATAAGAATAAAAAACTGCCTTTATGAAATAATGATATATCAATCAGGAAAAAAAGTAGTAGAAAAGTAAATCAAATATCTTTAAAGGAGAAGAAATTATTTAGTATACCATAATTAACGGACTGTACTTTTGTTAATAAGTGTCTGATTTTCACAACTTTTTTTTTGTTTTGTAGGTAATTTAGTAATATTTCTAATTATCATAGGTACAATCAAGATAGAAAACTTTTAGAGTTATTCGCAAATAAAGTTTCTTTTCTTCATAACTTATTTCGGGGGATAGGACTATTTTTCGCATGTGAAGCAGAAGAATATCTTTAAAATGAGTGGTCAATAATCGAATTTTATGAAGAACTGACGAAGTTATGGCGTACCTACAAAAAAACACCTTTTAGAAATAAAATATAAGATAGTATTTAATTTTATTGAAATTATAATTATTACATCAATCGTCTAATTTACAATTTAAATAATAATTTAATAATTATGACGTTAATAATAAAGTTGTCATGACGTTATAAGTCCATTACGTTGATTGATTAAATCTGCATAAATAATTTATTCTTACAATGGACTTGTCTTAGCTATCGCTAAATATTAATGTTGAGAAGATTATTTAAATTTATAATGATATCAAATACTCTAAAAATTCTTTTGTTGATTTTAATCCATAAAATAAATATCTAGTAAATAATTAAAATCAATAAAAATAGTCTAAATATTGTAGTAAGGGAAGATATAAATTCTTTTCTTTGTTCGAAACATCGTTCAAAAAAATAAATTGTATAAATTTGCAAAGATTTAAATTATTATCTTGAAATTACAGTCAGTATACATAATCAAATTTTTAATTTAAATAATAATTATCCATGTTTACTATATTAATTGACTTTATAGTCCTAATAAAATTATTCTTTCTTTTTATTTTTTCTTAAGCTATCGCTAAATATTAGTATTAAAAATATTATATAAATATATGATGATATCACATACTCTAAAAACTCTTTTTTTGATGTTAATCCATAAAATAAATAGCAATTAAATAATTTTAACCAATAAAAATAGTCTAAATATTATATTAAAGGAAGGTATAAATTCTGCTCCCAGTTGGAAGCATTGTTAAAAAAATAATTTGTATAAATTTGCAGACTTAAATTATTATCTTGAAATTATAGTTAGTATAAATACTCTAATTTTTAATTTAAATAATAATTATCCAATTTTATTATATTATCTTACTTAATGTGCCTAATAAAATTATTCTAGCCTTTTATTATTTTTTTTTTTAGCTATTGCTAAATATTAGTATTAAAAATATTATATTAATATTTAATATGATGATATGATACACTCTAAAAACTCTTTTGCTGATTTCAATCCATAAAATAAATTAATAAAGTTAATATAAAATAAATGTTAATTAAATAATTTAAATCAATAAAAATAGTCTAAATATTGTATGAAGATATAAATTCTTTTCTCTGTTAAAAATATAGTTCAACAAAATAAATTGTATAAATTTGCAAAGATTTAAATTATTATCTTGAAATTATTGTTGATGATATGATACACTCTAAAAACTCTTTTGCTGATTTCAATCCATAAAATAAATGTTAATTAAATAATTTAAATCAATAAAAATAGTCTAAATATTGTATGAAGATATAAATTCTTTTCTCTGTTAAAAATATAGTTCAACAAAATAAATTGTATAAATTTGCAAAGATTTAAATTATTATCTTGAAATTATTGTCAGTATACATAGTCTAATTTTAAATATAAATAATAATATTATTTATTATATTATTATATTGATTGATTTAATGGGCCTAATAAAATTATTCTTGCCTTTTATTATTTTTTTTTTTTTAGCTATCGCTAAATATTAGTATTAAAACAAGATTATATACATTTATGATGGTATTATCAAATGCTGTAAATAACTCTTGTTCGTTTTATTTCATAAAATAAATAGCTAACAAATAATTTAAATAAATAAAAATAGTTTAAACATTGTATTTAAAGGAAGTTATATAGTTTTATATCATAATTAATAAAGAAATAATGTAGTTTTTTTTGTTTATATAATTAAATATCTATTAAAGAGTCTTTAGGTTATGTTTATTTCTGACAGAGTTAATTTAGTGCATGTGTCAGGTTACCACTTTGGCTTGAGTCAATCGTACAACTGTCGGCCATATATGTAATCAATTTAGAATACTTTAAAATTTAAATTTAATTAAAATTAATTAAATATTGTATAAAGGAGGCATTGGGGACATGAGTTGGCACAATCAGTTCAATGCTTTCTAAATAGATAAGCTCATTTCCTCTTAGATTTCTACTCGACTAGATATAACTTTGGCACCGATCGCCATTGTTTGAACTTCTAAATCTCATCATTAGTAGTTATGACTCAGAACTATTATCAGTTTGTCATAAACAATTATTTAGTTTCGATAATTATTTATGTCTGATAATTTTTTTTTTTATATCTAAAACTTATCAGTGAATGAAGAATATTCGAGATCAAGTTTTCAACTAGTGTTTTATAGACGATAAGCTGAATCTATATTTAGTTCAAGGTGGTTTTCCTTAACATTGTTTTGGTTGGAGGACATCTGTGCAACAATACTTGCTATTTTCTCAGGGAATTTAGAGGTTATGGCCAAGTTAAAAGTTATAATTCTTAAAAAATATATATTTCTACTTACTCGTCTTCGTTGCCGCTCTCTTCCGCACTACTTTCTTCCGATTCGTCTTCAGAATCTTCTTCCTTATTATGGTCTGTGATATTTTCAGCTATCGGCTGTTCCATCACTTCATTAAAACTCGTTATTCCTTCATGTTCTTCCTCACTCTCTTCCTCGGACGAACTCGCGGATTCCGGTCCCGTATGAATGTCTTTTACAGTTTTATCGATTATTTTCACCTTGATCAAATTATTACTCTCTTCTTCTTCTTCGCTGTCATCTTCTTCTTCGTCTTCGCTTTCGTCTTCCTCGTCTTCTTCTTTCTCTTTTTCCGGTTCTTCGTCATCGGATTCCTCTTCTTCACTGGATTCCTCGCTTGAAATGATCGAACCCTCGCGCTCGTCGGTCAATTTCCTCTTACCGTCTATGTCGGCCCATTTTACTCGTTTTTTACCTTTAGGATGTTCGACGATCCCGCTGTGTGAGTACGGCGATGTGACTTGGCTCGCTTGGCTTTCATTTTCGTTTAAATTTAAACTGCTCTCCCGCTGGTCCCAGCAGCCCGAATCGTTCTTTATTATGTTATCCGACTCACTCTGTTCACTCTCTGATAGTTCTCCCTCACTCGACTCACCGCTCTCCTCGACCTGCTCGTCCGTGCACGGCAGAGTACCTTTCACTATTTCACAGCCCTTCTTCAACGAGTACACGTCCCCTTCGGAACTGGACTTGAGCCTGTCGTACACTTCTCCGCAGCTGAGAGCGCCGCCCTGACTGACTCTGTACATCTCTCGATCGTCGCCCGTTCCGACTGGTTCCCCCTCGCCCGAGCTATATTCCTCACAGCTGGCAACTGATCCCTTCTTCCTGGCAAGGCTCGCATCGTCCCCGGTGACACTCTTCTCTTCTACGGTTTCATTGGCTGGCAATGGTTCGTCACAAATGACGTACTTTTCCTCCACAGATTCAGCGGAATTTTCAAAATTTTTGATAACTGGCTTTTCCATGTTTTCTAAATCACTCACTCTCTTTACTAAATATGGACTTTGCAGTTGGCTAAGTTCGTTCAAATTCTTCATTTCTTGTTCTTTTTTCTGAGTTTCAGGTGTTATATGAGGCGCTTTATTCACGTCTTCTTCAGTGGGTAACTTATTGACGCGTTCGACTGGGTCTATCTCGATGAAGGGCATCTCAGGCAGCCCTTGAAGGGTGGAGATAGGCTTGGATATGTCGTTCCCCATGACTTGAGGGGATTCGCTCCCCGAATTCTGTCCCGACTGATCCGCACTCGCTGACTCGCCGGACACTACTGGGGCAGGTGTTGCGAATTGTACATCCCCGCGGCGCGCGGTCACGCCCACTTCTTGCCCCCGCTCCTTGCGGCCTCCGCGCTTCTTCTTGTCCTTCTTGCGCTTGAAGAAGTTGAACATGGTGTGGAGGAGGCGAGCTGCATCCGGAAGAGGCGGCAACGAAAATACCAGCTGGCTCGAGCCCAAACCACTTTAGACGCCGGGTCTCTCGTACAGACTGAGCCCTTCTAGATCGGTCACTCGCAAACCTCCTCCAGAGACTAAAATAATTCCACTGCCTTCTATTTCTAGTCTGAAGATAACCCCACTCGTAATTTATGAAGATGTCACCGACCTATTTCTCCTTCATATACATACATATTATTATCAAACTAATATTTTTTTTTTTATTTCCATTTTCTAAACTAACCACAAAAAAAAAAAAAAAATACAACAAGTCGTAATTTATTACCATATACGACTGCACGACCCTCCAGTAGAGCTGATCGCATAGCACTGATCAAGGAGGAATCGAGACCTCCCACCCGACTCCAGATCTTGACGTCAGCCGGAAAATCTTCTCTTAGGGAGCGGTTACTATTTTCAGTAGTTTTCGCCATTTATTTCCTCTACTATTTAAAGAAGTCTGGAACTCTCTTGCAAGAAAACAGGCATTAATGTTTAAAACGTCACTTAGATTCGTGACATAGGAGTAAATCTGTCAAATAAATTAAATTTTTTATTTCTAAAAACAGGAACTCGGTGTAGTTTCTTATTAGCTAATATATTTTGAAGGTTTCACCTACCATTAGAGATTATGCCTGACAGAAATAATTTTATCAAAGGATCAGTTATTTTTAACCCGAGATATAAATATAATTATTTTTTTTTTTAATCCATTTTTTTTTTATTGAGATATATTACATTCTATTTCAAAGAAAATTTATAATAGTGTTCAGAGATCATATTCACATTCTATTTACAATAAATAAGAATAAAATAACCTAAAAATAAATAAATAAAAAAAACACATACGTACCTATATACAATATAAATATAATTAAATCTTAAAATTTATTTGACCGCCATATTATATAATTTTTTTTTAAATCAACGTAGGCCGCCACTATTATAAATAATTTATTGTACATGAGCTCGTTACAAAAAATCCACACAGTGAGATAGAATCAATGTTTTAATAAAGCTATTTGAAAAAAAAAAAGATATTTCAATGCAGATTCCTTAATTTTATCATACTTTAAGGATTAAATAGTTTTTGATATCTTTAAAGATATCAAACCACAAATAAGTGAAACACGATTTTCTAAATCGTTGTTACCGTATTTGTAGCTTCATATTTTTATTTAACATCTTTATTATTCATCTTACTTTTTATCTATATTTTAATAAGTTTTCATAAACATATGCAAATTTATTAAAATAGTAATTTAGCTAACCACACTTCCTTGGGTATCGCAATTGTTTTTGCTTAAACAAGGTTTTCCTTGATGTGCTTTGTGAAACAATGAACAATTTTGTTTTGTTTTTTCATATTTAATTACTATCTATTTTTATATTTTTTAATTATGGAAACTTTTTGATATCAGTTACTATATTTTATTTATTTTGGACTATAATTTACAGAAGTTCTATTCGATATACAGATTTTTAAAAAAATATATAAATTCAACGTTCTTAATAAGATCGATATTTACAGGCTAGATTATATGTATTACTAGCTGACCCATACGAATACTCCCCACAATCCTAATATTTGTATCTGATTTTAATACATTAATCTAATGTAATATTTATTTAAAAGTAAAAGCTAATGTAATTGAAGCATATTGAATTGTTACAAAAATTGTTCAATGGGAGACGCATTTATATACATAAAAATAATAATAATAATTTAATAAAATAAAATGGTGTGAAATTAAAAAAAAAATGCGAACTAATACTGTATTCTGAAAAAGTACCTATTTCCAAAATCTTAAATTTTCATACGTAATAGAATCTTTGCATTACAATAAATACTAAATATATAAATACTATAACTCTGTACTAAATCGTAAGATTTCGATATTTTTTTAAACTTTTTGTAGGGAATTTAGTAAGTTTTCAGATTATAAATACAAATTATAAATACATTCATAACGCTTGGATTCATTGTTACGGTATATCACATGGTTTGAACATTTCACTTTTACATATACATTCACTTATATTGAAGTCCTAGTATAAACTTTTTTAATTATTAGGTTGTTACTATTAGGTTTAATTATTATGTATTAGGTTAGAAAGAGAGAGGAGAGAATGTGAGGAGTGGGAACATGTATAGGGGGAGAGAAGGAAGAGAATAGGTACAGAATGATAATAAATGAATGAAAGAAATAGTGAAAATAAAAAAAAAAGAGAAAAAAAGGAAAAAAATAAAATAATAATAATAATAATATATATATATATATATATATATATATATATATATATATATATGTATAAAATATGCTCATACATATTGTTAATCCTATATAATTGTATAATAATTTTAAATAATGTCTGTAGAGATTAATAAGTATGCTGTGTTGTTAGCAACCCAATGTAAATGGGCAGCACCATTTTATTTTATGATAATAAAGTGATTCTCTCTCTCTACAATTCGCGTATTCTACGAGATATTTCTATTGATACCTCATTCCTCCGAACCTTCTATTATATATATTTAAAAACAATATATAATAGAAGGTTAAATTAATTAAATAAACCTGTATCATATAATCAAGTGTGGGAAGAATCATTTTGTGTTAAAATAGACAAAAAATAAAATAAATGCCGGCAGTTTTTATCATGTGTAAAAATTCTACATAATTATTCTGAAATAAACAAATATAATATTTATTATTAATTTGCTTATATGTTTGTAAAGTTGTAAGGATTTTTATTTATTTTACTTATTATATGTACTTGAAAATTTAAATATTGTTTAGATTAAACACTGAGGGGGGGGGGGGAACAACTTTCATAAGATTGGCACATTTCTACAACTTTTTCAGCTAAAAATGAATAATGCAAAAAAGTGAAAAATATGATATCAGTAGCCCGTGAAAATTTAGGAGTGATTGAATAATAAAATCCTAGATTATGTAGATATATATATATATATATATATATATATATATATATATATATATATATATATATATATATATATATATATATATATTATTATTATCTTTGAATATAAATGACAATTAAAATAAAAGCATTCAGGTAACAATAAAATAGTTACATAACTACTACAAATCCTTAGCCTAGCTAGCTAGTCGACTTTTCTTATTCGATTTTAGTGTACACATTTTATTAATTCATGTAGCTTATTTAATATTGATTTTATTTTATTTTTATCTCAAATTATTGGGAAGTGAGGGGGGGGCGATATTCTTGCCCCCTCAACATTTTTATTTCGCAGACGATCCTCACTTTACCCCAATCCATCCTCTTTCTATTGGCTTCATACTCAATCAACAGAATTTAAAAATTGTAGTGGTGTATAAGCTATAGTTCGCTATTTATTCGATGTTCAATGAAGTGATTAAAAATTCTCAACAATTGAAGTGATACCTCGTAATTGATTTAATTAATTATATAGATTTTTATTTGATTAATATCGGAAACATGATGTCATCTACTGACGAGACCCCACATTTGTAGATGAGACAGAAATGTGTAATAAAAGAATTGTGTTATCTAATATGATTAATAAAATTATCTGATGAATAATCGTTTGGGTAATTTCCTGAACTCGACTGTGGGTAAAAATAGCAGAAACTGGGCGAAACTATACATCCATCAGTTCAGTAAAAGTGAATTCAGGAACTTGGCAATTATCATTAACAGAAAAGAATCGAGAAACTGGAGGAATTCAGGTACTATATTTTTGTATACCATCACAGATTAATTAAAGTCTGAAATTTGACATGGACATACAATTGACAAAAAAAAAAAAAAAAAAAAAAAAGAAAAACCCGCTGCAAATTATTTTACAATGGTTTATTATTTCCAAACTATTATAAATCTGAAGTAACAATACCTTCCTAGTTACAAAGAAAATAAATAAAAGGTGATTTCTATTAATGGACTAAACTTTTTTTTTTAATCGTTATTAATATGCTTTGCTGCAGAACATACATAAAAAACACTAGAGACCATATCTTTGCTCTTAATTGTCCGATTTGAAATATATTTTTTTTTTAGGAAATTCCGTAAACTTTTAAATAACCATATCAACAAAAAAGTGTATACTTTTTGCATTGTTCGAAATTTAATTTTACCATCCCTCGAACTTTTTTTCCAGCTCCTTTTCGTTGAAGTATGTAATATAGATAAATTTAAAGGGCTTAGAGAAAATTACTTTAGCGAAGTTTCATTGAAATCGGTACATTCGTTTAGGAGCTACAGTCTATAAGAACGCAGGTTTTTCGGCCACCATTTTAAAAGTAAAAGGCGGATAATAATGTCGATGAAGGAGGATCATCCTCGGGTGACCTCTGATTTTATATCCTAATTTGAAAAAAAATCGATCCAGTAGTTTTGGAGAAAATGTAAATGAAAAGTCCAGTAGTCCGGACGCCGGACGGACAAAAATATTTTTATTCGTTTTTCGAATTCTACGGGTCCTGGAACGTAAAACCTCAAATTTTGAGAGGGGGTTAAGTTTTTGAATTTTTTGATCGATCAAATGGTTCATTATTGAAAATAATAAACCAAAAAACTAAGGCGTTGGCTTTAGACCACAGGATAGAATTGAAAACGTCAACATCAGCAATGATATGAATCAATAATATGAAATATCAATTATAAATACTAGCTCATTACAAAGAGGATGAAGTGTTGAACATTTCCCTCGCTTACAGTATGCAAGTCCGAGTTTTAGTTTCTAAGATATTTTAATCCATGTGTAAAAACACTACAGCCGATTTTAGTCGAGCGTTACACATCGGTGATCTGAGGGCTCAATCTAATTCACTCTCTACAAAAAAAAATAGTGCATAACGCTCCTAAAGAAGTTTCCACTTCAAAAATTAAATTATTATAGGTTTTGAATTATATATTTAATTTTCAAGAAGTTATATATACATATATTGTCCTAAATAAATAAAACAAATATAGAGAGCTAGCCCAACAATGAAAGAATTTCGTGGTCACTGCAATATACCTTAGTGCTTCGATCCATACACTGACGTAAACACCCTGTAGAAAATTGATTGACCCACATATTTGGAAGTTAGCAAGCAAAATAATTATTATAGAAATTTTGTAACATAACATTACTTATAATAGACAACTTTTTAAAAAAAATCATATTTATTGAAATTTACACCTGTATTAAATAAAAATACAACAAGTAAATATGAAATTATTAACATGATATGTACAACATAAAGAGAAACTATCCCCATATCCCCATTGGTAGCATCCCAATTATAATAAGATCCCGTGGCCATCTTCTTTTCAGACGCCTCGGAGGGTTATCAGGAATAGAAGAGGAAGCAAGATTAGAAACAAGCGGATT